TAACAGTATATTATTTTAAAACAGGTGGATTGTGTGCTGTTTGTTCATTGTTGATATTTATCGTCAAATAATCACATACACCTACTGTAAAGAATCCGGCTCCTATATATACAAAAACTGACATTGACCATACCTTCTATCGTGATAATAACAAATATATTGTTAGCCTAAACTCCTGTCTCGTCATAATAAAAAGTACCATGTAAGTAGAAGCTCTATTATCATATTAATAATAAATATATGGTTACATAAAACTCCTGTCTCTTCATAATAACAAGTACCTTGTAAGTAGAAGCTCTATTATCGTATTAATAATAATTATATTGTTACATAAAACTCCTGTCTCTTCATAATAACAAGTACCTTGTCAGTAGAAGCTCTTTTGTCATGATAATAACAAATATTTTGTGAAAAGAAAAAAAACCCTAATTTCGAACTAATAGACTATGTTCTCGATAAAACAGCTTGTAAACCTCTAAGCTACTCCTGTCTCACCAAATATTGGTATTTGAACATTTCTGTTATAGTAAACTCATGACCCATACTACGGAGTGTGGTATATCCACAGTCCAGCTTGCTAACCACTGGACCACGCTCTGTCTAACTATCTCGTGAAAGAAGCCTTGTTGGCCGAAACTCCTGTCTTGCGAAAGCAGAATATTCTTGATAAAGCAGGGCGTTGTGTTAATATGTACATAAATTAGAGTCGCATAAAAGTTACCTAACAGAAGTTCTTTTCCATTTTAGAAATCATTTCAACATTCACAATAATACTATGTTCATGTAACTTGATAATATAATTAACACTTCAACTATTGTTGTGTCTGGTGAACCCGAGTTTTGACGAAAGAACTCATCGGAACTGGATATAGCAAATGTAGTACGGTTGACTTTCTTTATTCATTCTACACTTAAGTTTTAAAACTATTATGCTGACAATATACGAAATGATATAATAAATACGTATGATTTTTCTTATATTTAGGTCTATGTTCGGGAAGCTCGTGCTGTTCCTCGATACGTAAGTGGTGGTCCAGCTGTTCCACGATACGTCAGTGGTGTTAACGTCAACCGTGGGTCTAAGGCATACATTCCAGTTAACCGTCGCTTCGCTGGCTCTAAAGCATACAGTCCAGTCAAATCCTTTCCTGATGAACTTCGTCCCCCTGTTAAAAGTCGAGAAAACTTTAACAATCATTTGCGTGAGCATGGAGGTTACACCAAGGGTTACGTAGGGTCAGGGCCTAGAGTAGACCGTCAACCATCAGGAAATAATAAAGGACATGGTATCAAGAGTGCCAGTGATCAACATGGTGGTTATACCAAGGGTTACGTTGGGTCAGGGCCTAGAGTAGACCGTCAACAA